ATGAAAATTTAATAAATACGATTATTGTTGATTATTTTTTTAAATACATTTTAATTATTATAATAATCTGGTTTTACATTTTTTGATGAAATTATTTTGTGGTCGTAGGAAAAATATTGTACATCACTTGTGTGAAAAGTGATTTTCCACACTCGTAATGTAATATACTATTTGTCGGTAGCTGTTATAATTATAAATCGTAAATGCTAATAGGTCTGAATAATAGGTTAGGATTTGTATATCCTTTTGACATTATTTTAATTCGTTAATCATTAAACATGAACACGGTAGTTTAAAAGCATCTGGATAGGGCCCAAATGCAAATTTGATAAGTATATATTTAGCGAATTTTAAAATTATAATGAATCGGAAACCTAATAAACAACATAAAGTGGCTAACATTTTAATATACAAGTCATAATAAATAGGTCCATATTTTAATGTTTGACTTATATACTTACGCCAATTTTAGCCTTACATGTTAAAACTTGAAACGCCAACAGCAAAACGCTCATAGCGCTCTACGTTTTTCAAATACGAACAGCACGTTTGTGCCTTACACTTTTGTTAGTTTTTTTTGTCGCGTTTTTAGAGAGACGCGCTGAGTGCTCTTAAAAACACTGGTTAGAAAATAACCCTCCATATTGTCACAACCGGAAAGTCTAAAGGATCACCGCTTATCACCAAATGTAACAACCAACTAGCCTAAAGACCATTTGTAACTACTGATATGTCTTTGGCTCCTGTTAATATACTATTAAGCGATTACGCACTGTCGCCAGCCAAAAGGTCCTGGAGTCCAGAAGGATCATCCATTCACCAGTGGCAAATAAAAATATTAAAAAAATTATTGTCGAGCGGTTCTTGGCAAATACTTTTAGATTCTTCTAGTCCTAAGAGAATAGAAACGCCGAGGCTTCTCAAATGCTCGGAATATTTTACTGGTTTGGAAGGGGGGGGAGATTAATAATAAGTATTAAGACATTAACAAATGTGTATTTACAATAAGTACAAAATTTGACCAATAGTCTTAAGGAAGAATGAATAAAATTATATTTTAGGGAATAAAGCACTAATTGTTAATATATACAAACTTTAAGTAAACGTACATATGATTTATGACAACTAGATAAACTTCCTAATGAATTATATAGTTTGGACTTATTAACAATTAAAAATTGTACCGGCAACCTTAACTATATACAGGGTGTTTCTAAATTCAGGCGACAAAATTCAGGAGATGAATGCTCGTATGAAATTAGGATGGGTCTTTCCTATAATAAAATTTCCTCAGCCCATCCCTTTCCGAGATATCACCCTTAAAAGGGGATGACTAAAATTGAGTTTTATTTTTTTAGTAAAGCTAAAAACTTGAAATTTTGTAATTTTTCTGCACTCGCAAAGGACTAACCACGGGTATTTTTTCAATAGGTATTCTTGTTACATTATAGGGGGGGTGAAATTAGCAACCCTTACTTTATTTACTATCAAAACTTTTTTTCGAGATTAAGTTTTATGAGATGTGCTCTGCAGAATCGACAGTCTGATGTTTGTTGCAGACCTATCCTTCTCATGTGGTTGCCCAGACGGCAGTGTCCTGTCATCAGTCCAGTGAAAATGCGTAAATCTTTGCTACTCCTTTCTCGGATATGAGCAGAGGCTTTCATAGAAGGGGTAGTTATAAACTCCTTCGAATGAGTTAGCCCTGGGGTATCTTTCCAGTTCGTAAGTCTTGGACCCTCCGTCCATTTTGAGATAATTCCTTGGTTCTGGTCCTATGAACACAGATTAGGTTCTTCTCTCAGCAAGCGCGTCGACTTTTACGTTGCCCTCCACATCACTGTGCCCCGGAACCCAGATCAAAGTAACTTTGTTCCGAGAACCGAGATATTTAAGGGTATTTATACAGTTTCAAACCAGCTTTGAGTCAACTCGATTGGAGCTCAGGGCCTTAAGAGCTGCCTAGCTATCTAAAAAGATCTTTATAGTCTTGTTTGCGGGGAAAAATAAATCAACTCGCTCGCAATTCTATAGCAATAATTTCTGCTTGGAAGATCGTGGCCAGCGAGCCTAGGTTTATTGATATGTCAACTCTAGGCCTCTGGCCAAAAACTCCTTCTCCTGCTCCTACTCCTTTTTCAGTTTTGGAGTTAAGTAGCGGGTTACTATGGTTTGTTTTGTGTTTCAGTTAATACTGTTAATATTTAAATCTAAATCGCAATAGCTGTTTAGACAGCGATATAACTGGCCAACCCCGTTTAAATTATTGTTAAAGCTAAACTAAGTGACAAAGCGCTCGGTGAACACATCGATTAGGGTTTTTATTTTTTGTTCTAACAAGAAATTCTACAATTTGTTTTATTATATGATATCCCATTTTACATGATTTAGTTTCAGTTCTAATTATATGTGCCCCTGTTGATCTTTGCAAGAATAAAAGGTGTCGCCAAAAATTGTTCTGAACCTTCTCCGTTTGTTCCAGACAGCGGAAAGCTCATATGAAAGTAGAAATTACCACATTATTATATAATGTTTTAATTGAATTAAAATAGGATATATGGTTTTTAATACCACCACTTGAGAAAATCTGGCTTTTTGTTCGCGCTGTTTCAGGTTATTTAAAAATAAGCCGTTAAAATTAAATATAACACCTAAGTATTCGAATGTATTTGTCAGATCTACTACAGTATTTTTATATCTTAATTGAGGTTGGTAGCCAATATTTGGACTTTTGCGAAATATAACTATTTTGGTCTTTAATGGATTAACCTCAAGCTAAAGTTTGTCACAATATAAGTCAAGAATTTTCAGATTTCTATTTAATTCTATTTGAGATTCTGCAAATAGTACTAAGTCATCGGCATAAAGTAACATACCTATATTTTCGCCATCATCAAGAGTAACCCCTTCGGCACCATGTTTTTTAAAATATTGGTTTAGGTCAGAAATTAATGGAGAGAAAATTAAAGTACTTAAGGTATCTCCTTGCAAAACTCTTTTGGTTGTCTTCATTTTCTCTAACCTTTTACCATTGTGTTCAATAAATAAAGTTACCGAGTTCTATATTACTTTTAAAATTCTAATGATCTTGGCGCTTACTCCACTAGCAAATAATTTTTCCCATAGCAAACTGTACTGCAGAGTATCGAATGCTTTCCTAAAATCCACAAATAGCGCAAATTAAATTTCTAGATGAAAGACGTAAGTAATTATTTATTGTTGCTGTTAAAATGTTAAAATGGAGTGAGCACATTCAATCATTAACAACCAAGGTTAGAAGATTTATTTTTAAATTTTATGAGTTAAGGAAATCTATGACTAGGAGTCTACTAATTACTATTTACAATTCGTTGGTTGAATCTATTTACCGATACGGTTTAATAATATGGGGTGGTTTATATGATATAGCACTTCAACCTCTTAATGTAATCCAAAATCGTATCGTCAAAATTATTTACAAAAAATCGACATTATATCCTACCTCTCTCTTATATAACAAACAAGTGCTTAATATAAGAACATTTTGTTATCATTGTTGTTGTACTTTTATTTATAGAAAGCCTAAACTGAGACATACTTTAAAGCACTTGCACAACACAAGATCCAGATTACATGAAAATCTGAGAACTCCAGCAGTTCAGTGAGATGCAAGTCAAAGATTTGTAACTTATGTTGCTCCCAAAATCTTTAACACCTTAACTGTCAATGTGAGGAACATAAAAAAATTATTGTAACAATGTCATTTTCGAAATTTGATTGGTTTAAATTTTTCTTAGCTTTATTTAAATATTTCTCAGCATTAATCAAACCATGGTTTAGATTTTGGAATGAGATAAATATTAAAAGTTTGCTATTTTTCCATTCCTAATTTTTTTATTTAATGTGATTGTTTTATTTAATTGATTATCTAAATCATCTGGTAAATTTAATTGTGGATTTAATTCATGATTAGATATTATATTATAAAAAAGTGTTAAAAGGGTTGTAATAGATAGTTTATCAGCGGAAGAGCAAATAAATATAGAATATAATAGGAGGTAGCTATTTTTTAGATGAGGGAATTGTGAAAAACAGTACTATGGAAATCAAACATTGAATTTTGGATAGTGTTTTAATTTCTGTTTATGACTTTATACTTGTCAAATTTGCAACAACAAAATATATACAGTCCATTCATTCAGTTTTAATTGATACTCAATTATCAGAAATAAAGCTCGAGCATGACCCATTTAAAAATTTAGAAAATATTATAAAGTTATTTTTTTAAGACAATTTTAGAAAGTGATTATCATCAAAAATAGGCAGAAACCTGTCGATGCCTACTCATTTTAAATAATGAGAAAAGACAAACAAGAATAAGTAATTCGTAGCTTATTGCAGTACTTGAATATCGGTGTAAACTAAATGACTAGACTACAGTCTAATAATTGTTCCGTATTCGTGAGAAAAGTGTATGAAGGTCAGTTGGAGTTTGAAGTTTAATATCTGTGACGAAACTTTCTTTGGTTGACTTTTGTATTCCCGGTCATTAGTGATGTAGCTTCAGTTGTAAGAAATGATATTTCGTGAAATTTATTCAAACAAGTGATATCTGACCACTTCACTTTTAGTTTAGACCTAACAAAGTATTACGTAAAATAACTATAAACTATTATTACACTCTACTTTACAATTACAAAAGAATTGAAAATTTATTTTATTTTGAGTATTGTAGGGTTGTCCACATTGTCCTCTTTGTCTGTATCCACATGAACTCATTGTTGATATACAAGTGGACCAATACATTTTTGTTAGAATTAGGAATATTTACATTTTGCTTTTATTTTTAATTTGAACATGAATTTGTTAAGAATATATTACACAATATCCATTCAGTGTGGCCAGTGTAAAAAAAATGTACAATTAAAAGGAATAAAAAAAAATGAATTATAAAATACTCTCTACATGTACCTCCCTCTCCCCTATTTGACCTCTCGTAATGTAATTATTATTTCTTTTAGGTACATAATACCTCTTCCCAAACTTCATTTCGACTTAAGCAGAATCCTCATCTTCAAACTAAAAGATATCGCCGACCCAAGTCAGATGGACCCGTACGCTATATTTGCACACTTGATAAATATAGTTGAAATAAGATTTTTTGAAGATTTTTGTTCGGGCCATGTGGTACTTTTTGATTTAGAACATTGCAAGTTTAATCATATTACGAAAGTTAGCCCTTCGTATATAAAAAATGCATACACAATTGGAGAGGTAAGTTTTCAAAGAAATTATTTCGAAAAACAATAGGTCACGATTAATTTTAATAAATAAATTGTTTCTTCCCAACAAACATTTTCTGTAGAGAAATAAAAGGCTTAATAACTGTCGCCTAGAAACTGGTTTGTTCATTTCAAAAACCACACACAAGTCAAAATAGTTAATTTTCCAATAGAGCGGGAAAATTATGTTATATAAAAAGTGTATTTATAAAATTTAAAATATCACATGTTTTTAATATAATATCCACAAATATTGTTAAGAAAATTACTGTAAACTTAAAAATTTTTTTGGTAAAAAAAATTGTATAAAACGACTTGTGTAGTTTTTACACAAAATGCTACTTTGTGGCATTAAATTTCAATTTTGAAAATAAATAAAAAGAAAAATATTAGGATCAATGGTTTATTTAGGTTTTTCTAAACATATTGTACACTGGTTTTTATTAAACTCAATATATTTCCAAATTCAAACTTTTGCAATACAACAGAATTATTACATTAACGTACAACCTCGAACAAAATATTGGAGAAGGTGACTCATCCCTGTTCACGTACAATCATCGTAATATACCAGAGCATAATAAATGGAAATGCATGTTTATTGCCTAAATGTATTACGTCAGTGGCGTATGAAAACTATTTGCAAATTAAATGAATCCATTACTATTGTAACAATATAATTCTACTATTAAACTGTTTTTATTAAATTTATAAGGACACCAATATTTTACTATTTAATAAACTTTTAAAGTACCTACCTTGTAACAACCAGTTCATCCTAAAGACCAACGCTCGTCACCAAATGTAACAACCAATTAATCCTAAAGGCCATTTACAACTACTGATAGGTCTTTAGCTACTGTTACTATACTATTAAGGGATAAAGGCAGCGCTTGTCACCAGCCATAGGGTCCTGGAGTCCTGAAGGAACATCCATTCGCCAGTGGCAAAATAAAATAATAAAAGAAAATAATAAAAATACAAAAAAAAAACATCCCTTAATAGCATATGTCGAGCGGTTTTGGCAACTGACTTAAGACTCTCAAGTCCTTAAGGGTAGGGACGCCGAGGCTTAACATGCTCGGAATATTTCTTACTGGTTTTTGGAAAGAGGTGAGAATAAAATAGGTTAATAAACAATAACATGTATATTTAAATATAAGTAAAAAATGATTAACAATTTCAATAAATCAAAACAATCTCTATTTTTGAAATAAGACATAGCAAAAATTACTACCCATAATTGTAAATCTTTATTATAATAAACCATGCTAATAAAATATAATCTATGATGAGACTTTGATATAATGAAACCTTTTACATCACAAAAACATTTTAATATAAAAAAACTCTTTATATGATAAAACTTTTAAAACTAATAAACATTTAATAAGTAAACTTGGGACGAAAATGAAAGAATTGGCATTTGAAGAAGACTAATGAACTGTTTTAAAATACGTAACCCAAACAAGAGATTTAAACATGTTAAAATAAAATAGATATTACCTTTGAAACTAAAACACTACACACACACTTTACTATATATAATAAATACTAATAATTACTAAGTTACGTTTTGGGGCATAGGTTTGGCCCAACGGCCGCCCCTCGAGTCCTTTTGTCAACGATTGACTCTCTATTTATATCAACCTTAACGTGATTATTTTACAAGAAACGACTTATTTATTTTTAATGATTATTTGCACGATTTGTCCTTAAATTTACTAGTGCAATGAACTATTTCTAATTGTTTGGTTTTAATAAATATGTTGTGTTAATTTAATAGGTATTAAAAATATTAGATATTTTTGGGATTTTTGTTAAATTCTTTGTATTTTAAAAATAATAATGCCAATTATTACAACCTAATATATTGGAAGGGTCGCTATAGGCATTGAGACATTTCCTTAGTGCAGTGGCGACAGAAGGGGGCACAATAGATCTTTTAGGTCGCAGTGTATTAACACCCCATTATCAACATAACATAACATAACCTACCTAATATACTACACAATAAATATAACTCCTCGAATATGCACCACCATTACCAAATTGTAAGGCACAAACATGAACAGCTACTCGTATATCAAAAAAGAGCACTTATACAAAAAAGTGTTTATAAAATATAAAATAATGGGCCCGTTCACTTTCATTTTTGAATGTGAATTAATTATATATTTATAAAGATATTAAACTCTTTTGTCTGGTGGTACTTTTCCCGTTAAGATATTTTTGCTAGAAGTAAGGGAATTCCCATAAAATTCTTTCAATGACTCATTGCGTCAGAAAATCCCTAATTCCGTTCACGTCTCGTATCGGTTATGCTTAAAGACGGCGAGGTTGCGGGAGAATCCCTAATATAGCATTTCTGCATTTATATATGTAATTTAAATAGTAAAATTCCATTATTTTTCTAAAAATCATGAACTTATATTTTCAGATTTAAAGCTAGGAGCTTATTTTTTACTTTTTAATTAAAATAATTATTATTACTCAGGCTGAAAATTAACCAGACCATAATCAAAAAGTATAACTTTGATTTGCAATATTTATCTGGTAAACGTGGCAACGTTGCATTTATTTCTAGAAGTGTGTGTAGACAACACTATTTAGAAGTACTTACAACGTTGTCACGTTTACCAGATACATTTTCTCAAATAAAATTTCGATCTGGTAATATTCAGCTTGAGTAATACTAATTGTTTTTATTAAAATTAAAAAAAGGTAAGGCTTCCAGCTTTATCTGAAAATATTAACACATTATTTTTAAAAAATAATATATTTTTATCATGTAAATTTCTTTAATAAATGCAGAAGAGGAATGGTGGTGCAATGATACATCCGACAACCGCGCCCTTTTAACTATTAACCGATACAAGACCTGAAGGGAATTAGGGGTTTTCTGACGCAATGAGTCACTGAAAGAATTTTATGGGAATTCCCTTACTTCTAGCAAAAATATCTTATCGGGAAAAGTACCACCAGACAAAAGAGTTTAATATCTTTATAAATATATAAATAATTCACATTCAAAAATGAAAGTGAACGGGCCCATTATCGTAAATAGTTAAAGCGATACAAATCTATAACCCGTCTGTCGTTTATTTATTTGAAACACATTCATTTGTCATCGCCTCCAAATATTATGGTATCATCTTACAAAATTTTATTCTATATTTAGCGCATCATCTTTGTTTAAATAAAGATGTTGACAAACAAATTTAATAAAGTTTACTAACAAATACCTAATAAATAATAAATCATTATTTGGTATTTTATCCGCCGCCTATGTAACTTTCCGTCGGAATTTTCATTCATAGACAACAGTGTTGATCACGCATATGACTCACCTTCTCCAATATTTTGTTCTAGTATATCATAAAACTGAAACTGTGATATTAAAATCCTCGCCATATATAGCTCTCTTGATTTTCTTAAAAATTCCAGATGTTTCCTGACACGGAATGACATTTTTAGACATTTCTAGACTGTTCTGTTCTTTTTTATTACTACTTTAACTTATAACAATCACAGAATAATGTAGGGGGATAGATGACATTGTATTTCTTCTTTTATTTATACGTTTACCTATTACAGAGGTTACTGCAGGGTGTAGGGTAACATTGCTCCCTGCTCTGCAATTATTTGTATCGAATAACTTGATTATTGAGACCTGGAACCTATTTCATAAAACTACTTTGCAACTTTTCACTATGCACTTTGCATATTTTAGGAAATTTATGTTTAACACGTTGATGGACACGGACTGCTATAGCAGTCACCTCACATTTCCTTGGAGGGACGCGGACTGTGTGTGCAGTTTATTTTGATATATGATTAGGAGGTATATGAACTGCAAAAGCAGTCGTTCTCTGTATCCAAATGTATAGAGTTATGATTTGTGCGTCCCGCTACAGCACTGCTTTCATTTTTAGCGCAATTTTTAAGCCGTGGTGGAGACGTGTTTTAATGTGCACGTTCGAAGATATTATGCTTCAGTAGCAGATACGCTGTTCATATGTAAGAGATATTTATGCTTTGTTTGTTACAATTATATTCTCGAAATAAGTATGGTTGGAAAAGATGAAGAAAGACTTTTACAGTGGTATAACGAGTTGGATAGTGACAAAGAGAATGGAACCGAATCGAATGGTGGGTAAAATGATTTTATATAACTATTTTGTATAAAAATGTTACATTTAGTAGGTGATGAAAGTGAAATTCCCAATTCGCCTGTGGACCCATTTCATGATAGTGACAATATGACAGACGACCCTACATATAACCAACAGGATGATTCAAGTTCCAACTCTGAAGATGGAAATGATGATGATGAAAATGTAGAAATTGTGGAACGTGAAAATTTTATCATGTCGGAGGAAGAAAATTTGGACAACAATGGAGTTGAGGGAGGTGAGTGGGTAAGCAATACTATCGAGATACTGAATTTTTCATTCAACAACAATGAAAGTGGTATAAAGATTGATGTCCCTGCAACATCAACACCAATGGACGTGTTCAGTAAAATATGGTCTCTAGAAGTCGAAGAATTATTATTAATATCTACCAACAGATATGGCAAACAGCTTGTATCGAAAAATCGACCTAAAAATCTTGGTAGTAGAAGCAAAAATTTTAACAAACTAGACGTAGAGGAATTAAGAATATTCATAGGTCTTTGTCTTCTAGGAGGATAAATTAAATTTCCTTCATTACGGAAGATATTTACCCTCGACCCATTATATTATCATCCTATTTTTAGTAGTAAAATGTCCGGTCGTAGGTTCGAAGAAATTCTAAGATCATTCTCATGTGAACATCTCGCAGGCGGTGAAGACGTTCTTAGGAAGATCAACCCTTTGATGAGACTTATAGTAGATAATAGTCAATCTGCTGTATATCCTTGTGAGCAAATCTCTCTGGATGAGTCTCTTTTATTGTTTAGAGGACGTCTGAAATTCAGACAATACATAAAAGGAAAAAAAGCTAAGT